TTATTTTTCTTTCATTCACGGAACCTGTTCTCCTTTTGAAATGAATTTGAATTTTGGCCTTTACTTACTGCTCCAGCTAGACCATTACAACCACTGATCTCCTAATCACCATCTTTGTAAGTGTCCAATCTGGTCCACCGTCCATCCAAATCTTTATTTCCTAAACCTGGAAAGAAGGAAGAAACTAAAAATGGTATGTTAGGTTTTGTTATTTTGTGACACAATAGTAACAATCATGAACCTGGGAGAGCTTTTTAAGGACATTTGAGTGAACAACAAAATTAGGGTTCATGGTCTGAAAGTTAATATGGTTTATTCAAGTTTGACCTGAAAGAGATATGAGATGACATGTATCCTGTGGAATTAGTCGAAATGCGCAAAAGCTGGCCCAGACACCACTGTCATATAAAAAAAAAGAGTTGTGAGATGATGATAAAAGAAGAAGGATAGGTATAATAAATATCCAGGCACAGCTTCTTGGAGTACAACAAAATGTAGGTCAGTCTTTGAATTATATGGGATGTTCCTAACAGACACAAAAAGCCATTCTCATGCACGCCTAAAGGAAGAAAACAAACAAACGCCTCTCAGATCTGTTCTGATATGAAATATGCCTTCTTTTTCACATTAGTTCCAGGTGAAACACCTGAATGACTGAAATCTATTGTGAGAGAATGGAGGCTGCTAAGTGTTCGTCTGTTTGGTCAATCTTAGAGGTGTATTAGCTTTGGACCATGTTTCTTATAACCAATATGTTAGCTATGGACCTGAATCAATTTTCTGCTGTTCTTTAGAAGTGATAGACACATAAGTCCTTGGAAAGAGTTTGCATTTTGTGATTGAGAGAGCAGGAGAGAGATTTACATTGTTCTAAACAAAATAAGCCAGTAGAGTATGTTCTGAAGGCATACATTCTACTTGGTGGTTTCGCTTGCCGCAGATTGTTTTCTTTTCTATTTATGGGTTCCCTTGTTTTGGACATCTATCAGTTGATTATATCCCTTTTCTGAACCCAAAAGGTAGTAATAATAATTCAGTAGATAGGAGCCTGGTAAGGTAATTTCATACATTTATTGCTTGCAACAAAAGTGATTTGCATGCTTTCTGCGTTTATTATGGGGTGTAAGAAGTTCATTGTTTAGGAGAAGTGTATATGTATTTCTCAAGTGTTATAAGGTTTGAACTTTAACAGTTTCATTATGACTGAATGAGGAAAAAGAAGAATGCAGATGATGTCATCAAGACCCCTCTTTTCGTACCACTAAGGAAGTTTAACGCTACTTCACCAATCGGTGTATCATGGCTTTACCTGGAGTAGCAAGGCTTACACTTATTCACACGACATCTCTGTATCAAGGTTGAGTCAACAAAGCATCTCAATGATGTGATTTGTATTTGGATTAAATCAGAGTTCATGTCGTCCTCTTCAAAGAAAAAGGAAGTTTGAGCACAGGCTACACATGGGTCACTAGAAAAAATGTTGTCATGAACTGATTTTTGGAGGCCATTGGTAACTTCCTCAAAGTACTAATCATGGATCAAACTGGCCTACATTTCATGTGGAAACTGTCTTTCTGTCAACTTTGCATTACTGACCCATTTCTTGTGAAATAGTTTACTTTTCACGGGTAGTTAATGTACCTGTGGAAGGAAGAATTATTTTCAGTAACTTAGAATTAGTGAATACTGAATCATTTACTCACTTTTAGCTTCTTGAGTTTCTTTTTTGGATATTTAGAATTGGTTAAGGCTAAGATAGTTTAGGTTTTCTCCTTTGAGGATATTATGCAAGTGTTTACCGTAATCAAAATCCCTTTCTTGCCTCTTTCTTCACCCTGTTCCTTCATTTGATGATTGTGAAGAATAATATACAATCTTATGACTGGTACAGACTGACTGGGAAGGCGGTCACTATCCAATAACGATGCATTTCAGTGAGGACTATCCAAGCAAACCCCCGAAGTGCAAGTTTCCAGCAGGTTTCTTTCATCCAAATGTCTATCCTTCAGGAACTGTTTGTTTGTCCATCCTCAATGAGGACAGTGTAAGTATCTGTTGCTGCCATTGTGTTATTTTATGTTTGCTGATTGGTATTTACAGCTTTTAATTGAATCTATGGGTTCTTACTCTTGCTATTACTTGTTGTTAGGGATGGAGGCCAGCCATTACAGTGAAGCAAATTTTGGTGGGTATACAAGATTTGCTTGACCAGCCAAATCCCGATGATCCAGCACAAACCGATGGTTATCAGCTTTATATGCAGGTGCTCTACTTGAGTTTGACGATTATTTGCTTGAGTTTCCTCAAGTTGGCATTTTTATTTTCTGACATTCAACATTATACCTGAATTATTCTTTATTAATCCTAATCCCTACATGGTTTCAATTGCCGTATGTCAATCATATATGCCTAATGCATAGTAACAAATAATTCTACAATGTACTTGATATCCATACAATTTTTCGTTCTAGTGATTACTTGGTTGTAGGAGCGAAGTGACAATGAATTTAACTTCTAGTCTAATGATTCATATTTACCTTCCTTGCAATCAAGATAATATGCATTGGGAGATATGATGCTATATGGAAATAACTCAAGTGGGGGGTTGTTTAGTTCAAAACAAGGTTATCCCAATTATAAAGCCAGCTTCTATATAGGATAGATAATCCCAAGTTTTTGCTACAACTCATATCCTGGTTTAGCTAAAACCTACAACCAAACACTGGACAATTAATCCCAAATTTTATGCTGGGATAACCCTCTAATCCATGTAACCAAACTGCCCCATAGTTCCCTGGCGTGTTCTTAAATTTAACTGAACAGACCAAAGAGACTCGACTGTCATTATGAATAATGTGGAAATCACTTTTGCAGGATACAGATGAGTACAAGAAGCGAGTGAAGCAGCAGGCTAAGCAGTATCCACCTCTACTCTAGTTTTAGCCGCGTGAAGACGATGTAATTAAATTTGACTATGAGTAATTTTCTCTTGATTCTTAGCAAACACCAATAGTCCTTGTTGTAATAGTGACTCTGTGCCTAACTTTGGGTGCTTATCTTGTCTATGATTCAATATTCAACTTGCGTACTTTCTCTTGTTTCTGATTACATTTAGAATTGTACAAAACCTCTTTACTTAACTTCTTTTTTTTTTTTTTTTTATCCCTCCCTAGGAGCTCCCACCCCTTTTGCACTCTTGGTGACTCGAACTCGCAACCTTCGGGTTGGAAGTGAAGGGAGCTTACCATCCGAGCAACTCCCTCTCGTCTCTCTCTACTTAACTGAGAGCCCTTAGGAAGAGTTTTTTTGTTTGGTTTTCCACAAGGTGTTAGGAGCTCGTGTTGGAGCTTCGACTAAATTCAGATCGCACACAACAAGGCTCAGGCGCTTCTAACACAATTTTCTCCATATCAAAGGGAGATGTAGGAGAGAGGAGGGTGTTAAAAGTCCTTTGTTTATTCTGGTTTCTCTCCTTTCATTCATCAATCATCTCTATTGCGACATTATTTGTTCGAATATTTTAAAGTTGATAACCCTTTCATTTATATTTATTCCATTAATTATACCTCATCAACGTTGACTCAGTAACCATACTTTTCTTTTCTAAAACTAATTGTTGTAAACTACATTTGATGTCTATTTCAACAAGCAAAATAGTATTTTTCTTTAAAGAGGAAAAGAATATAGTTACAGATATTATTATATCATTGCTTCTTTCAATTTTCCCTTCAAATAAAAGGATATAAAGTTGTCTTTGCGTTCTCAAGTTAAACTGAAAACGTGCAAGACATACAAAAATTAGCTTAATTGAGGTTTGCAAGTAATTAAAAATATAAGTCTTTTTAGAGTGTCAACCATTATATTAAGAAAATAATGTGAGCAAATTCATGCATCTGAATTATACAAGTTATGAAACACCGACAACATATATCCCCTTAGAGATTTCACAACTCATCAGTATCTTCACCTTCTTCCTTTATTGATTGAGCATGCCTTTATTTTGTTCTAAACTTAAAAAATCCAAAACTTTATATTAATAATTATCATAAATTATAATGATGATAGAGATAATATATACACCTAAAAGATATTGATGTTTCCCTCTCGCTTTTAGTTTTTTTTCTTCATTCAGTGTTTAGTATTCGTATTAAAATCTCAATTAATTAGGATTTGCGCCGCGTAAAACACCCTAACAAGAAGATTTCCGGCCTTGTTCCCACCGTCCCACATTTGGTTAAGTGATAATTTGAAGCGAAGATATATAATGTTAATAAATTATAGTCAAGTGGTTGGAAAAATATATATAAAAATAACATATATTTTTTAATTTATTGATTTGACGTAAACATTTCTATAAAAGAGTCAATACTCTAGTTTCACATAGTGTATTCGTTTATATGTTTGAAAAATATAAAAAAGTACTATAAATTATAATTTTCTGTACTTACAAATATTATAAATGTTTTAAAAAATAACAATCAAAGAAAAACTGATGGCTTTTGTAATTCAACAAATGTGTTTCACCAAAATTAAAAGGAAGAATAAGATCTGATTCTTCAAATTTTTTTAGCTTTCTTCTTTTTGTTCTTTGCTAGACTTTAGTGTTGTCTTTCTACCTGACAAGAAGTTAACAACAATAAATTCAACATAATTTCACAAATACAATCTGAAAAGACTAAGATATATACAGATCTTATACAAAGATAACACAACAACCTGATAGTGACAAGGGATTAGGTGGCATCCTCTGAGATTATGACATGTCTTCTTCCATTGACCAAAAAAAAATAGTATCCTAAATACAAATTCTGTTAAAAAAATAACATCATTAATTAAAATTACAATACAGTTATATACAATATCTTCTTTAATTTGGTGACTTTACTGTTACAACAACAAACAAATTAACAAATAAAATAAAACCAATATCTTCTAATTTAGTGCCCTTTGATGGTCTACAATATCTCATACAACCAAAAAAAAAAAAAAAACCATGTACAAAATTATAATGTTACATTTGATATTTTTTATAATATGTTACAAAGGGTTAGGAGATCTTGAATAACTATTACAATTATCTAAAACAATTTCAAATAAATCACCTTCAGACTCCAAATCATAATCTAATACTTGTTTCAAACTATTAACAGTATTGTTATTACTTCTTGTATTGCTTCTATTAAGCCATTGTGCATCAATTCTACCCATTGAGAAAAGTTCCTTGCTGTCTTCATATCCAAGAATTGGTGAATCATTTTGCATTATTGGACCAATGAAGCAAGGATTTGGTGTCCTATGTAGATTTGCTGGTGGATATTTGAATACACTTTGTCCAAGATTTACTAGTACTAAAATGTCACCATTTGATGCTAAAATTGGGTAAAGTGGATTCCCAAATTCTTCTGTTTTGCAAAAAATTTCATGTACTAGCAATGAATCCACTGTGAAAAACACCTTCTTTTGGCTTGGATTGTAACCACAACCAATTACTTTTTCTGGTTTTCCCCACTCTTCTCTTTGTGATTCAAACACCAATTTCATTCCTGAAAAAAACCATTTCAAGTATGGTTACTAAACTACAATAACAATAACATACTCAGTGTAATTCTACAAGTTGGGTATAGTTACTAAACCTCAACAGCAGTACCATACTCAGTGTAATTCCACAAGTGCACTAAAGTTACTAAACTTCATTAACTATACAAGTAAATTTGCATCTAAGTAACTAAACTTTCGTAACTATAACAATAAAGTCACTAAACACTTAACACCTATGTCGTGTCACGCTATAGTACAACAACAACATATTATAACCCCACAAGTGGGATCGGGGAGGATAGATACGTACACATATCGAGATGGTAGACCTTACATTTATAATAAATATAGGTATATATGCATAAGTACTTGCAGTAGATACATAGAGTCTAGTGACTCATTATTGAATAATAAAATGTATTTACCTGAAAAGTTTAGGCCATTATAAGAGTAAGGTCACTAAACTTAACCTATTATAACGACAAAACCTATGACATCAAGGTAACATTACTACTATTATAGTGGGTTACATTTTTTGACTTAATTGTTTAACGGGTAAAGTTCAGTTACTTCAACAAACAACAATAAAAGAAGATAATACTAGTGATTATTTGGTTGTTGACTTGTTATCCGTGTATGTTGACAAATTCTGTTTGTGGTGTTACAATTCCACAATGTTGATCATGTACAATTAAAAACACTAATGACTGATTACTTATGTGACTTTTGGAATAAGCAATGAGCTAGTATATAAACTTTGTTATCAAATGCAAAAAATAAAATAAAATGGCCACTATGAAAAGTGAGTTTTTATGAACATTTTCTCTTCCTTTTATTTTTTTATCTAAGTCTTTATTTTAACTTTTCAAATGACATGTTTATCATCATAAGATTAAAAAATATTTTGGTACATTCTATATATCTTTAATTTAGACAACAAAATTCAGAAGTCTTGTTTACTTTATTAAACTCCGAAGTTAAAACCACCACCAACAACAACAACAATAACAAAAGAAAACATTCTAGTGAAACACTGTGCTCTAAGGAGAATAGCGTGTAAATCAGACAAATAAATTGAAACAACAGAATATAGAACTTACCATCAAGAAAAACAGAACCATTTGAGTTAAATCCAATGGAACCTTGATAGCTGCCTGGAAGTTTAAGTGGTAGAGCACAAGCACTTGTTAGCCCAATTGACAACACAATGAACTCATCACTTTTCAAATTCTCCTTTGATTCTTGAATTTTTTGATGTCCATTTCCCCTATGATTACTACTGCTACTACTTGTAACATGAACCAAAGACTCTGAATTAGCCTTTGAATTAGAAGAATCCTCTCTAATTAGCTTAATTTTCTCCAAATCTAATTTATCCTCTTTCACCTTTCCCATAACTTGAACATTATTATCTTGATTCCAAGGCAAAATTGTAATCTCAAAATAAGATTCTTGTGGAAATGATGAATTTCCCAAATGAGGTCCTGGTAAAGGCAAACAAGTTTTGACAACAGAGGAAGCTGACATAAATTTAGTGCTTTTATTGAGTTTTCGAATACCACCAGAATTGAATCGAATTTTCTGCATAAAATCAGATGAATCTTGACAAATTTCCCAACTCATATCATTTTCACCAACACATGATCCTAAAATGGACCTAGCTGATGATCTAATGGATGAAGATGGAGCAAAAGATGTGAAAGCAAATCTTGACCATCCATTTTCAACCGCGTCAGTTACAAGTGATGGATGATCAGACCAATTGAAACCTTGTTTAACAACATAATATTTGTTTGTAACATCGTGAACACTTACATGATGAAGTTTCGAAATCTGAGTTTGTTTTTTTGATTGATCTCCTCCTGGACAACATCTTCGTTTAATTATTGTGATTACAATTATAACAAGAATCACACTTGAAACTGCTACAAATGAAATCTTTAGCCATTCTTCCATCTTCCAATTTTATTTTATTTTGTGGGAGAGATTATTTATTTTTGGAACAGAGGAACGGTGGCGGCAACACAAAAATAATGGTTCAACAAAGACTGCAATAGAGACCAAAAAGAGAGAAAGTTGACATTTTCTTTTTTATATATATAATATATATAAAAATAGAAAGAGTAAAGGAAAATGAAGTAAATGGAAAGAATGGGAGAGGCGTGCTATGCCAAGAAAAGATAACATTTACACCTTTTCTATATTGACAAAAATGCAGGCACGCTCATAAATACATATTTATATTGGTCTATTCGTTCATTTTTACTTGTTCAATATTTTTTCCATTTTTATTTATATATTGTCCTTAACAGTGGCGGAACTAAGATTTTTGATAAGGGGGTTAAAAATCTAAAAAACTAGATACACGAACTAACCAAAGGGGATTCGACATCTATTATATATACATAAAAAATAATTTTAATCATATATAAATAGTAATATTTTCCACTGAAGAGAGTTCGGATGAACCCCTAACAGAGGGCTGGTTCCGCCCTTAGTCCTTAAGATTATTACTTGTTATTTCATAAAATCAATACATAAATAACACTATTCTTCATATTTTATCCTTGAGAGTTATTAGTCTTAAAAGTATGAATTTGAACAACATAAGAAAACTAAATGATTAAATTCATGTTATTTGATCAATTTAATTTATTGAAAATTTGACTTCAAAATATCACTAAATAGGGATATAATGATAAATTTACCTAGTTTCTTAAGATGTGTAAAATCTAAAATGATGACATATATATATGGGCGAAGGAAGTATTAACCTGACACATTCTTAACGAGTAATTACAATAGGATAATTTTATTATATTATTAAATATATATTTTTAAAAATGCTATAGGTAATAAAAGATTAATTAGAAAGTAAGTGATGAATTATTTTTTAATTTTCTAAATTGAACAAGTAAAAATTGATGAAAAATATTTTTTTATTAATTTATGTGATAGTATTTGATTGAGTATGAAATTAAAAAAAAATCGGTTTGTTTTGTACTTATTACAAATCAATTACTCACATTTCGACTAATTTAATTGTTAAAATATCTATTATCTTTCATCCATATATTATGTATTGAGTAATTCAGGATTTTAGTCAAATTATTTCTTATTTATGAAAGTACCTCTGTTTTAATACTTTAAAGATGAACCCTGACATCTTTAATTCTTTAAACTTGTTAAAATAAAGAATTTTTTATCCGACTAACAGAATATGTGACTACCAAAGAATACTAAATACACGATATCAATGGGAAAAAGATAATTGACTTTTGAACCGACTAAAAAGTTGACCAACTAGCATCGATATTTTTGCGCCATAAAATTAAAAAAATTCATCATAGTTCGGTTTGGTTTATTTAAAAGATTCAATCGGAGTTTTGAAGAAAAAATGCTCAGATCAATTTTTTGAAACAATTTTAAAAAAAAGTTTAAATGCATATGTAAGATAAAAAATAGAAGCCTAATCGGTTATACTAAAATATTTTTGTATGATACTTAAACCATCAAGTTTAGTCGATTTTCTATTTTCTTGATTTTTTGGGTAAAAGCAATTGATTGACCTTGTCGATTTTAATTAAAAAAAAAAAAACAAATTTTGGTATCAAACCGATTAAGTTAGTCGTTTTTCAATCGTTCCAACAGAATTTAATGTTCTTAGTATTTTTTTTCAATACTTTTAATATTTTTTACGTTCATTCTGTCAGTTGAATAAACAATACTCTACTTTAACACATTTAAGTAACTAAATCAAAGATGTCTAGAGTCATTTCTAAAGGACCTAAATAAACCTATTTTAATAAAACAATTTTAGCTAAGAACTCTAAGTATTTTTGTCTATCAAAGCTTGGCCATATAACAAGAAATTATCTCATTTGTTTTGCCACCAATAGACTTGGACAAATAATATAGACTTTTAAAGTTTATGATAAAAATAAGATTTAATATTTGGATAAATTATTTTATTAAAAAATAAAATAAAATTTAAATTATTTCTAAATTTTAAAGAGTAATAATCTCTCTTGAAACAACTTAAAAAAAATATCCTCCCACACCATTTTTGGGTATTAGGGGTCGCGTGTCTCGTTTATTTTTAATTTAAATTTTCAAAGGACATAGAAAGGCATATTCTTTTGTTTTATTTATAAAAAATAATAAATAAAAAAGCCTTCTAGAGAGAAATAAAATTCTTGAAATGGCGGTCAATGATACATGGTTTGACTTGTGTCAAATTTGCCTAAAATCAACACCAAATTAATATGAAGGGACTGTTAATTGTCAAGAATTAATTAAGAAAAGATAATCAAATAGTGGGCGTAAAAAAGTGAATTTTTTTTAGACTTTAGTGTTATATATAGTGTAACTTTAATTTGAAAAAAATAAGAATTTTGACTTTTATCATTAGAGTATATAAAGTAAAGAGATTATACATGAGAATTGAGATTATAAAATATAACCTAAGTGATTATACGCAAAATTAACTTCTTTTTTATGTATATAAAAAATTTAATTCCAGATATATAATCTCAACCCATCAATCTCGCGGATTCAAATAATCAAATAATTACAAAAAAATAATAATTTACATGTGCTCCAACTTTTGTTTTCATGTATTTTGCATAGATCCAATATTATATTGCCTTAAAATAATAATACGAAGCAATTTTAATTTGAGACATGAAGTAAAGTCTTAAATTTAAATTCACTTACCAGTCGAGTTGTGATAATAAATTATTTATATTAATTCTGCATACGACATTTTATGTTCTAAGGTTATTTGAGTGTTTTTATCCAATCGAACCTTCTTATTTTGACGTTTAACTTTGTAGAGAAGTAAAGATCAAAAGTGGGGAACAATTACAAGAACAGAAAATCTAAGGAAAGAAACGAATAAGAAAAAGCTAGAAATATACAAAAGTAAGAACTTGTTTTCATAGTACAAGGTAAATGATGCTCTCTCCGTCGCAAAATACTAATAATGTGTCTGCTTCTCGAGAGTCAAATTATATATAAAATCTTTGATCAATATTTTAAAATATACTTTTTAATATATTATTATGAAAAGAATTGCAACTTATACAATGTATTTGTCTGAATAACTAAATTTTGATTCTAAAATTTTAAATTAATATTTGAAAATTAATTTAATGGATTGACCAACGGAATGCATGAGATAAAAAAAGATAGAATTTATGCAAAAAAAAAATTCTGAGAAAGAGAGGCGACATGGAATTATCACGTACCGATTTGGATCAGATTAATAAGCTTATGACCATCGAACAAATTAAATTTGACTGATCAACTCTCGAAGGGAATGATTATTTTTTTAAGTCGAAAGTTATCACTTATAATCAATTATCACAATTCTTAATTAAGCGTAGGGATGCAATTGAAGTAATGATTTTGCACCATCCACTTCTATTTTACTTTTACTTTTTTTTTTCTTTGGCTTCACTTTTCTTGTTATTTCTTTGGATTCATTAGCATGATCCTTAAAAGACCCAAAAAAAAGGATAATTTCATGGCAAAAGCTGGTCCAATCTTCAGACTTTTCTTCTTCTTACACATAATTTTTCTGTACAAAAGACTCAAAACTTTGAAAAAGTAAAAGATAGACAACGAAGAGCGGGCCAGCAATTTTGTTAAATTAATATTCTCCATTAATAATACCTTTTTTTATTTGTCCATTCACTCTAGATCATGTAATGAATACTGTACCAATTGGAGTTGATAGAGAGGTAAGTATTTATTTATTCTTAATTAAAAGATCTCGGATTCAAGTCTCCTTGGATACATAGTCCTCTTTGTTATGGAGCGCTTTACCCTAATGTGGGACCTTCCGACGCAAATCTAGATTTAGTCAGGATCTGGATACCAATGGAAAAAAAAATATAATGAATACGGTAGAATAACTATATAGACTATGACAATTTTGAATAAATTTTTAGCTACTTATAAACATTCAATAACTATCAGCCGAGCATATTGAAATTATAGCTCTAGGCCAATTCTTCTTGACAGAATCCACGCAAAAAAAGAAAATCTTAAATAAAAAATAATGCTACACAACATTTGAATCACACTAATTAAATAATAATAAGCTTCTGCTTCTTCTTATATGAGCTGAATATTGTATTTCTCGTGTCTTTTCATGGTTTAAAAATTAAAATATAATGATCATAAATTAGGTCAACCCCTTTTTATTCCTTCTTTAAATTTGTTATTGTATTATCGAATAAGACAGGAGAGTATATAGGTCAAGAATTAAAGTAAACGACTAGTAAGTAGTTGAGTGGTCCTTTTCTTCTTGATGATAGAGCAAGTTTCTAGTCCGGAATACCTATGATCGGCTCCCTTACCAATATATTTATCCCTTACCAATATATTTATTCTAGTAGCAATTTATTCTTCAATTTTATTATTACTATTGTTCATTTTACTTTAATGATCACCTTTACTATTTTTACTGGCTGGATTTTTGTCATTAATATTTTCATCATATTTTTTTTACTCGTGCATTCTTTTTCAAACAAGTTTTTGAAAAATGATTTTCTTGAATAGAGGATTTATTCAAAACAATTTCTCTATTTTATAAAGATAAGAATAAAATCTATGTACACCTCATATTTTTTAATCTCCACTTATAAGACTATACTGATATATTGTTATAGTATTCCCAAATTTGTTGTTATAACGTACTTGACATTCCCAGGAAGAGATAGCTACTTACTAAATTCATAGAATTATTGATTAACCTAACAAGAAGGAATCGGGTTGAGCTACTCCATCAACTTTCAATTTATGTTTAGTAGTTTGATTAATTTGATACGGAGTTTTAAAAAATAATTTTTAAAATATGCAATTTTAAACAAGTGATAGTTATATTCATACGATAATAAGACTTTTGAAATTTGTGGTCTCAGATATGCGATAATATTTGTATGTTATTTAACGACCAAATGGAAGTTTAA